AGTAATTTTTAAAGCATTTGGATATATTCCTTTATATAGTTCAATTTTTCAATTTCAGTTCACCTCTAAATTAATCAAGTTATGTTCTATTTTCGCCATTTACTTTTGCACATTCAGAATATAGAGTTCATTTATTTGAAAAGCTTATATCTACACATATCTACCCAAGTAAAGCAGTAACTGCTTAACAGTCCTCTGTCGTGCTATGTCCCAAACATGGTCAGATCCAGATATATTTGCCTTCACGTTGTATTTTCTTTAGTTTACCGAGGATGAATGGAGCCTTAAATATTCTGAAAACCTACATGGATTGTGAAAATGCACATGAGAAATTCATCAGGAGAGGCTAGACAATACCTTTTTACATGATCGCACAATAATGCCGTTCAACAGTTTTATGTACCAGGATGTCTTTATCTTTGCCTTACTTAGTATAGAGGTTTAAATTATCTCAGTTTAAATGCTGTCTTTCGATTGACTGAGTAATGGAGCAAAGAAGTTCTATCTAAAGCTGAGATAACTGCGAGTTTACTCAGTTTCTGCTGTTTTTCATGGGCTTTAAATCTCTTAATTTTCTGCTTTTTTTACCCAATTACAATACTGGATGTAACTGAACACTGGATGTTTGTGGCAAACCGATGCATGAGGCTACATATCTTGAGAGTAGATATAGACGTTTGTAATACTATCCTCGTCTATTTTGGTACTGGCCTCAGCATTTCTGCTTCTCAGGCTAAGTTGTTTATTTTTGACAGATGCGCTTATTAACATTCATTTTTAGGTTTGATAAATTATCTTTATCTATTGCTGAATAGAATATACAGATATATTCGGGTAAATAGTCAGCGATTAACTTTTAAATTATTCATATTTTTATATTTGTAAGCTATTTTACGAAGAGCTTAAGAACACCATTTATTGCCTTTTTAATTTTGGTAATATACTTATACAGGTACTTTTAACACTTTATTTCAGTTTTACACTAAGATCCAACTTCAAAATTTAGCTTCTTAGGTTATTTTTCACCAAAGATCACGATTCACTGATTTTTCTTTCTCTCCAATCCTCTTTGAGCCAAATAAAAAGTGCTCACAATAAAGCCGTTTTTTATTTTATTTTATTCCAGACGTGTGCGGTGGTTCTCAGCCAGCGGCCGGATTTGCTCTGTGCCCGAGGCTTCACGATTCTTTGTCTAGACAGGCCCCTGTTCACCCCCCACCCCACCCAATCCCATCCCTCACCCCAACTCCCACCCCCCATTCCTTTCCCTCACCCATTATCAGAGATACATTCTCCTTGGGAAAACCATTCCTTGTTCACTTTGTCAAGTTATGTCGCATGCCGTGGACCTTAATGACCCGGCATGCAGTCTCCTCACAGGTCAGGTCGCTTCCGCTCCCCATCATTCGGCTGCTCCTGCTGCCACTGTCGTCGTTCCTGGATTCACCTCTTCAGCCGCTGGCGTTGGGCCGGGCTTCCCTGCTCTTCTTTCCACTTCGCACCACTTCCGAGTCCCTGGTTCTGGACAGCCTTTGTACTACCAACATCAGTTTAATCAACCACCACAGCAGCTTTTACCCCAGCCATGCCCTCCACTTCCATCATCTCCATTGCTGTCTCCAAATTTGCCTTCTCATCAACACCAACATATGATACAGCACCAGCATCAGCAGCGATCTCCCGTAGAGCGAAGCAATCGTCTCGGCTCGTTTCCTCCGAGGCCGTTCTCTCATCCGGCTAGTCTAGATCCTGCTGACGAAATGGAGTCTAAGGAGCCAGACGAACTTGGTGATAAAACTCCAAATGGTCTACAGAGGCGGGCCTTTTCCACTGGCTCTAATCAATCAAGTCTACTTGCGTATAGCAAAGCCAGATCGCCAAGCCCAACTCATTTAGAACCGAACCCGTCTATTCTAGAGCCGAGTATAGGTCGAGCAGGATTTCCAACCGCCTCGCAGAAACCTGCATGCCCTCGACCTTCTAGCACACCTCTATTCTCTCACAGCCCTGTCTCCTCCGTCGACGGACAGTTGTCGCAAGTTAAAGGCTCCCAGCGACATGGCAACGGAACTATGCTCACATCCAGCCCTTTTCGTAGTGACCCCTCGGGCGCCAATGGCACCCCAGTAAACCTCTTAGGGCAGCTGTTTCCTACTTCTATAAGTCCAAGCTCGTCTTCCACTTCATCGACTCCAACTCGAGCTTCTCGAGGGGCCGGTGAAGACGGTGGTGCCCCTGGATGCCCAGGACTTTCTTCGAGCCTTGAGGCTATGAATGCAACTTCTGGATTTGAACTGTCGAGCGATGCCTCTACATTGGTGATGGCCAACACTTCAATGAAGGAAAATGAATTTGAGAATGAGGAAGAAAGTGGTAAGGATGGCGACACTGAAACATTAGAGATGCAAAGAGGCTTGCATGATGCTATAAGGATTACATGCAAGCGGCGCCGAAAAGAGACGATGAGTCTAGATACGGCTATCTCTCCGGTTGATCGTATTGGGATAGGAGCATCTCCAATTGGACTTCCCGTCGAAGTAACTTCATCCGGTTTATCCAAACGGCCAAACACCTCATTAATCTCTTCCTCTTCCTCCGGAATCGGAGTCAGCCCTGGTATTCTTCCCAGCGTACAAGCCCTTTCTACCGGTCCAACTGAGGGTGTTATGAGGCCAGGCTCTGTGCCCGTATTCGCATCTCCGGATTCTCCTGCATTAGGGTGATTAGCCTTTTTAGGCATTATTTTTAATCCATCATTTTATCATGTAAAGAGGGCAAATCCGGCGGTTGAGGCATGTGTTCTATCTTGAAAAGCCCAAAAAATAGATTGTATAATTTTAAGCATGATTTTATTTTAATGATTGTTTAATAACATTGATTATAATACATAATTTATATCATATTAAATGTATGTATCTGCGTTTGTCGTTAAATATCTACTTAAATTTGAGACTTGTAAATATCTTGAAAGATTTATTTATTTATTCGTATATGAACCATTCTTAAAAGCTTTATCATATTTCTAAAAATACAACTTAGTCAAGATTGACCGACATCCCTGAAACTGATTTTATATAAATTTAATAGTTTTATTTTGGTCTATAACCCATA